TATATATATATATATATATATATATATACACACACACACACACACACACACACACACATACAGAGAGAGAGAGAGAGAGAATGATGAATGTTGAGCATGATGTGAATTATTTATGTGCAAACAAAATGGCAAAGTTAGTTTTCTGGACCACAATTAAAGTGTAAAACATCAGGGTTATAAAATAGATTCCTTAAAAAATATGAATTATCAAACAGCTAAAGCTACACTATACCTGTTGAATAAGAACAGTAGCTAGCAATAAAAGAATCAAGAAAACAAGCACTTTTTGTTATTCTTGTGACTGATACATGTGTAAAATGCTATACAAACAACAGCAGGTTTTAGAAGTCTGGTGTAATATAACTGCAAATACCAAAGGTATGTTTACCTAAGAGTCCTATTGTATTCATAACTATTATACAATCAAAACAAATGAAAAGCAATAAGAGAGACAATTCTAGGAGAGAAGTAAAACTTAATTCCCGTTGGTAACAACAAATAACCTGGAAATTTCATACATCATCAGTAGCAAAAAAGGCCGAAAAACACCACAGCATTGCAGTTTATGGATTCTGCTGGATGTAATGATACTACAGCTCTAAAGATGGAAGGTAACAGTTCAATAATAGAAGCCTGATCTGTGGAAGCAACATTTATAGAACCATACCTTGTGTTGCTCCATTGAATTCTCACTTAGTTGATCAATCTAGTTGCTGATAAGGAAAGATTCTTACCTTCAGAAACTCGTATTCCAATTCTTAAAGCACATCGCTAAAGTATTTCTCACTAAAATCTTCTCTTTGACTCAGGATCAATAATTTGGAGTTAAAGCATTTTTTGGCAATTCAGAGATCCCACCGAAAGATAATTCATCGTGAGGTTTTTGATCCCTCAACCATTAATAAGTAATAAGTAGGCTTGATACACTATCATTGGACTAATGCTTTAACTGTGAATTTATCGGACTAGGTTTTGAATGTTTAGTAAGTAGAATCGATACCCTCCACCGGACAAATATTCTTGGGTGTAAAAATTATCAGATGATGAATTCTCTCTGGAAATTTGATTGAGAGGGTTTCGATAATCTAAGACCAACAAGAATACTGAATGTTGTAATAAACAATTTTTGCTATCATCATTTAACATTTTATGAGTGGAAAACTAGTAACGACCTGAGAGATATTTTATCTACAAAAGTACCAAAAAGATGTCTTTACCCACTGAAACACTAGACAAGGATTATACCCCCAAAAGAAAAGAATTTACTTGTGATATCAATAAAACCTAACACAGATAAAATTCAATCAACATAGTCCAAAGGCTGTAGAAGCAAAATCTAACATATTTTAACTTCTTTCAACTAAATTCACGGTGTGTTCCTGGTTCGATCTCAACAAACCAATGAGAGATCACTCGTCGTCGGAGTGAAGTGACATATCCTAGATGCGAATAGAACGAAAAAAGAAAGACACAAGATAGAGGGTGGGGAGGGGAAGAGCGAAGCGGTCACTGAGTGCCCAGATATCCTGGAAGTGTTGAAGCCTTGAAGACGAGCTGGAAGTTTCGACTGGTCGGGTCCGTCGGCCAATTGATGCGGGCGGCGCGGACCAGCCGCTCCACGGTCAGCGCCATCTGCTTCGGAGGAGCCATCCACGGAGACCGGCTGCTGGGGCTGCGGCATCATCTCTCCGCCGCACTGTGCCGCGGTTCAATGACAAGCGTCTCAACCATTCTTCCTTACGATGGCGGGGAAGAGCCGAAGAGGAAACGTGCAATTCTCGAAAACATCGACTTAATTAGTTGTATCACAGTGGAGTCCCTATATTAAAAATGATAGTTATGTGGGTCTAAATCAGATAAGGACCTCATAAAAAGAAGAAAGAAAAAAAATCGTGCTCGAACAGTGCCTACTTTAAGTCACATCCATTCATCCAGACGTTCACCAATCTCACAGTCCGATCGATTAGAAGTACAAATTCCTGGTGGAGGATCGTCTCCAATCATGCTTTTAAAAAAACATCCTTACTCAGGGCATGAACGGTCAGATCTCAATTCACAGATTCCAGTTAGCGATACTCTCCAAATGTAGTTTTAATACCTCATTCCCATGGGGACATGAACGGTCCGATCTTAATGAGATATCCGCCGAGGATTCGCAGCCTCAAAGACCCAACTCGGGCCGAAACGGCAACGCCGAGCTCGGGACGTCTCGATCGGCGACTAGGGTTTCTTTGGGTACGTAAATCTTGTCGAAGCCGATCGTTCTTCTGCTCTTCCTTACGTCGTTCGATCTGGTTATTAGTCTGGGTCTGTTCTTGATTCTTTGTTTCTCATGGCAATATGCGTTGGTTCTCGTTCATTTCCACGCGGAAATGTGCAAGGATTTCGAGTTTCAGGGTGTCTAATCCTTTTCACACGTAACCTAACTTGATTCAGGAAACGAGTTGGTTTTGTTGTGTATTTTGCTCTTTGACACGGACATCCTAGCTTTTGGGCAAATGCCTGATCTCTTGCCCTGCAAATTTGATCTGGATCTTGTCCATGTAATGTTTGTCCTGCACATTCTGTATTAGGCGGATTCGGCGTGATCTGTGGTTAATGTTTGTTTCGGTTCTTGGTTTGTTAGATGGTAATCTTGCATCTTATAGCAGAAGAATTAGGAGGGAATAGACTGCGCAATATGGTTCTCTGTTAAGCTTAGTCTCCATGAACATTTCGATTTCATAATTTCTATCTGTTCTGAGCTCTAAGTAACTCTACCGGCTTCTGAATAACATGGCGAGATTGATCATCTTGTTTCTAGAGGTGGTAGTGAGCAAGGCCGTTCAGCTGTAGAGGGGCTTCTTTGGGCTTTTTACTTGGCTTTTTATGTGAAGTATAAAGTGAATTGTTTTGTGCTTACTATAGTGGATCATTTTCTTTTCCTGATGGCTCTAGCATAAACTTTCTAATCATTTTTTTCTTCTAATAATTTGATGATTGTTGGTGGTGATTTTTTTCTAGAGGTGGTGGTTTTTTTCGAAAAAAGGAATTTATTTTTTTATTCAGAATTAAGACGATTACAACCCGTGCTTGTAGCATCAGCATGCCAAAAAGGGAAAAAAAGGATCAGGCCATTGATCCATCCAAAAAAAAGAAGATTTGGTGGAGAGCACAAGTTTAGCCAACCAGTCTGACATGAGAAGTTCGAAAGTCCACAGAAGACTTTGATAACCCAAAAATCTGACATGTAAGGTTGAGGAGAATCCAGGGAGGATCTATCTTCCGGGCTAAAATGTCCACGATAATCTGGCACGGGTGCTGATTTGTAAAGAGTGTCTATTGTAATCAAAGGACTGTGCTTTGCCATTTTAGTCAGCTGGTGGGTGCTGCTTAGCTAATTGTGTCTTTTGTAATATAGGACTTAGCTTTGCCGTTTTAGTGGTGCAAAGATATACCCAGGCAAAGGTATCAGATTTGTTCGATCAAACTCCCAGGTAATATTTGGAAGTTCCCAAGGGTTTTCATTAATGATGGTTGTATTCATTATATCATAATGCTGCTTTCCTTTTTGTAGGTTTTCCTCTTTGCCAATTCAAAATGCAAGTCGTACTTTCACAACTGGCTGAAGCCTGCCAAGCTCATCCGGACAGCAATGTGCAGGAAGCAGCATAAGAAGGTACATTGTTCATATTCTGCTTATCTCTTGGATGAGAATTACAGGGTTAAGAATTCAATTCCTTGGAGAAATGGAAGACCTATTTGAAATTATACTTAATTCTATTTTGGGGCAAAACTTATTTCAAGTTCCTGGAAATTTGCTAGTTGTTGTTCTTGCTTTTTCATCATCTAATTTGTTTTGTCTTTCTAATTGATTGCTTACAGTTGCTTATTGAAATATACTGTTGAATGTTTTTGAAATCCTTGTCTAGGACATTCATGCTGAAGCTGTAAAGAAGAGATGTCGTACTACAAAGAAGCCTTATTCAAGGTCAATTGTTGGTGCTACTTTGGAAGTCATTCAGAAAAAGCGATCAGAGAAGCCTGAAGTTTGTGATGCTGCTAGAGAAGCGGCTCTGAGGTAAAGCTTTCAATCAAAAGGCATTCATATTAAGTAGCATATCTAATCTCCATTCTCTTAGATGACTAGTGTTTCCCAACGCTGTAAAAATCTTCCTATTTGTTTTTCAGATTGTAACTTGTTGGAGTATTTTAATATTTCAACAATATCCTTTCTTTATGCAGGCTCTGATAATTGTGCTATAAGTACAAGCAACCTCACAAACAATCTAGCACTTGCATCTCATCTATAAATATCATTTTAATGCCTTAATAGCATTTCACTGGGGCTTTTAGGAAAGTTTATCTGGTCATCTCGGTCCAAATTAGTAATTGTAAGTAACTTAGTATTATTGATGATCAGCATCTATAACGAACTTACTTTTCGGTATAAGTGGGAATGTTGAAAAGATCAATCTGTTTTCCCTAGGGAGGAACTGAAAGTGGATTTATTTTCCTTGTACAGAGAAATCAAGGAACAGGTTAAGAAAACCAAGGATGAAAAGAAAGCTAAGAAGGCTGAGCTAATAGCTAGATCTCAGAAGAGTACTCAGACGAAAGGCAGCATGGCAAAGGCTCCACAAGGCCTTTAGTTTGGTGGCGGTGGTTGGAAGCGATGAAAATCATAACGTTCTGTTCGTGTATCCGATTCTGCTTCATACCTTTGTGGAGTCTTAACTGTCTAAATTGTGTAACCTTCCCTACTTCTAAACAATTTTCATGATGGTAGCGGCATCTGGGAACTAACTGTTCTTGAAGGGAAATTTTGGTAGTCTAATACCAGTTTGCTTTGGTTGCTTTGCTCTCATACTGTTTGTTACATTTGAGGTTTTTGTACTAGTTATGCTATAACTGGTGCGATTTCAGTATATCCTAAATTTTGGTGCTTAGTGGTTGTGGTTGTTCTGCGTCAATTGAGAATTATTTGGGATATAATTTCATGCTTTTCATAAGCTAAGGAATAATGATTCACTCTTGAGTATTTCACTTCTAATTGGCTTCAAGAATCCAAACATATATCCTATAGAATGTGTTTATCCTTGATGATCAAAATGCATGTTCCACTACAAGGTTGATTGGATGCTTTGTAGAGACATGTTGATTGCACAACTAGCCCTAGGGAGTTCTAATTTTCAGTCTCTCTGACTCAATATATCATATCGGTAAATGCCAGACTTAATTCATCAACAAGGAACAATCACTTCATGGCAAAGGTAGCAAAAGGCTGAAATTAATTTGTTTTTAGTAGACTGATAGTCCTCATTTTGGCAGTTAAGGCTATGATGTCCATTAAGCATGATAAACCATGAATTCCATTTGATGATTAACTTCACTGATGATTTATCTTCTAATAGAACAGAAACCTCTCAAGTAATTTTCCTGTTATAAACCATGCTTTGATTAATTACGGCTACATTGTCAATCAAAATAAAGTACAATACTGCAAGAATCTGCAAGAATTATGATATCATGGTAATGAAATATCACACCTTAGAAAGTAATATAACCAGAAATTATAGAGATAAATGGGTCACTTGGCACTTACACGCAAAAAGATAACAGAGTATTCATTAAAAAGGAAAAAAGGTAACAAATTTTAAATATATAGAAAATAAAATTCAGTCAAGTAAAAACTACCCAACAAACACTAGGAGGCCAAAGAATAGTCAAAAACATAAAAAAGGTAATCCAATCAAAATTAAATGAAAAAACGCTTCCTGTGAATCCCCAAGTCATTGAACATACCAAAAGATGCATTCAGAGGATGCAGATCCTACCTCACCTTCAATGCCTACCATGGCCGTGCATACAATATGATATCCCATTGCTTCTGATCCTCCCTGCCAACTAACAAATAATTCCATGCCACCATTCAAAGATCAAACACATCTGGGGCTGTCGAAAGAACTGTCACAGAGAAGCCAACGGATCCAAAGTTATACCTCATTCATATATTAAAAAACTGGTGTTGATTCATCGATATCTTTTTCTTTGACAGGTACAAGACATGAATTCTTTCACATGCTCTGCAGCAAGATAACATTCTCTTCTGCCGTCAACCTACATTTACGATAAACCAATTAGGAAACTTCAATCACCAGAGTCATAATTGCAACATCTAATGAAGTTGAACTTTTCTTCTACGTTAATGGATGGCATAGTATAGAATCAAAACATCTCTCCAACACCCTAGTTGGCAAGAGAACTGTAATTCAGGTGAGTATAATGAAGAAGGAACATGCTAAGTTGACGCCCACACTTTGAAATCTTGGCCAGCCCTTGGGGACGTCAGGTCGAAAAAGTCAAAGGTGGATGAAATAGATTTTTTTATAGATGAAATTATACCTTGAGCTTCAAGATTTTCTCATCAGAAATTAGCTCTCTGACTATCTTTCATTCTTGCAAAAGACTTTCACATCCACTTCCTGTAGTTCCCAGCATCAACCAATTTTTCATGTGGACATGATATCTTTTCTGCATGTTGGCTTCCTCTGATGAAAACATTGAACATCACTGTCATGAGGAAGCACAGCATCACCACTGGTTCCAACAAGAACAGCTTCCTCTGATGCTCCACTTACATAAACAGAAATTTTAGAAGATCTTGATCATAAGGTTTACTCAAGTCATTATCATTGAGAGAGTTCACTCACGAAGCAGAAAGAATCTACCCTTCTTCAAAGTCAAGAATACCTGAATGATGTTTTGGGACATAACCAATCATTTTTAAGTGCCCAGACATCTCATGCAGAAGTTCATAAATCCTGTTGAAGTAGGGATGTGATCCATCTCTTGATGTAAACTCGTGGACTGCTCCATCCACTTCGATAGAACTGGCACCTGGCACATTCATCACTCCCCTCTCCTTCATCATCTTCCTCAGCTTAGCAACATCATCCCACATCTCATGTGCTGCATAAATATTAGACAAAAGGATATAGTTCCCGCTGTTGTGTGGCTCAATTTCAACAAGATGCCTTAAAGCAAGTTCTCCAAGCTCAGCATCACCATGGCTTCTAGCAGCAGCTAGAAGAGCTCCCCATATTGCTCCATTTGGTTCAAAAGGCATACGTCTAACCAGATCTCTAGCCTCTCTCAAACAACCTGCACGGCCAAGAAGGTCAATCATACAACCGTAGTGTTGAATTCTTGGTTTAATCATGTACTTCGAATACATGCGGTCGAAATACCACCTCCCTAAATCTGTTAGTCCGATATGGCTACAAGCAGATAGGACAGCCAGGAAGGTAACGTCATTTGGCTGAACATGCTCTCTTTCCATCCTATGGAACAGCTCGAGAGCTTCAAAACCAAGCCCATGGGAAGCAAACCCTGCTATCATTGTGGTCCAAGTGACCACACTCCTCTGTTTCATATCCTCAAACACCTCTAAGGATTTGTGAATGTATCCAGACTTAGCATACATGTCGATCAGTGAATTCATCAAAGGGATGGTTTTGTACAACCCACGCTTGCCTATAAAGCTATGTATCCATTCCCCCAAATCCAGAGCGCCTAAATTGGCACAAGCTGAGAGCACGGCTAACAAGGCCACCTCATCTGGCTCGATACCACCTTCCAGCTGCATCCTCCGAAACATGGTGATCGCCTCATCCGAACCGGTTGCATCAGCAAAGCCGGCTATCATTGTCGTCCACGAGACCACATTTCTCTTAGGCATTTGTTCAAAAATGTCACGTGCGCTATCAACATCCCCGACCTTGACGTAACCCGCCGTCATTGCATTCCACATCACCACGTCTCTAAGCTGAAATCCGTCGAACAGCTTGCGTGCGTCGTTCACTTCGCCACAATTGGAGTACATGACGACAAGAGCGGTCGAGACGTGGATGTCGGCATCAAGTCCGAAACGAGTGATCTGGCCATGGACTTCTCGGCCCAATTGAAGCATTCCCAGATGGGCGACGGCCTTCAGCACGAAGGGGAAGGAGTACGTGTCCGGCCTCAAGCCGGAGCCTTGAATCCTGTTAAAAAGAGACACGGCGTGCTCGGCGGAGTCCGTTTGGCAGAGGCATCGGATCATGGTGTTTAAAAGGTAGACGTCGGGGCGTTCAGCGCGGTCGAAGGCGAGGAGGGCGTGGCCCCGGAAGCCGAGGGAGGAGCAGGCGTGGAGGAACTTGGCGAGGAGGAGGTTGTCGCCGGGGAGGCCTCGGGCGATCATGAAGGCGTGGGTTTGGGCGATGTGGCCGAAGGTGGAGCATCGGCTCAGCAGGGAGAGGAGATGCGGGAGAGGAGCCGAAGCGGGAAGAGGGAGGGATGAGAAGCGACGAAGGGACTCGAGTCGCGCACGCATTTGGGTCGCAGAAAAAGGCTGGGAGAAGATATAAATAGAGATGGATAGACAGCGGGTCATGGTTTATCGGATCCTCCGGTTCAGTGGACCCGATTCGGATCTCGGAAGTTGGATTTAATGTCCGTTAGCATTATTCCTAAATTTGAGGTAAGCATGACAGTGGATTAGTCATATGCGAAGTATCAGTCTATCTAATCCACCTAAATATCGTAAGCTAATTCGTAATGGATTAGTCGTTAAATTTTGGGATGACTCTTGAATCGATGTCATGATCACCTTTCTCTATCTAATTTGATGTCCAAGTTATATCAATAAGGACGAAATGGTTGATGTTTTCCTTATTTTTGAAATTGTAACTTAATAGATTTTTTCATCGTTGGTTAATAAGATTAAACTTATTCATATTTTATATGACATATTTCATAATAGTTGGATATAGACTTATAATTTTGAAGACTTACTATCATGCTTACTCTTGATGAGGAAAATAATGGCGACAAAACTAGGCTGACGTCACCTGTCCCAGATGACGCATCACGCCTCAGTACTTGGTCAAACGGACTAGAACGTCGACCGAGGCACATTAAACATTCTGCCCAGGCTCGGTCTCGCATGCCACGCCAGCGCTAGTGTCAGACGCTACCTGCTCCTGCAAGGGGGCACATCAGGCACAGTAAGCTTCCCTATAAATACCCTCGCATGCTAAGAGGGAAAGGGGGGGGGACGGAACTCACACACAACACTTTTATGGAGGCATCTCTTCCTCTAAAACCCTCTCCACATCGCTAACTTGGCCGTCGGAGGGGTTGGGCCGAGCGCCTCGGCCCGACCTTTGTGCAGGTGCCAGAGGGGGTCGACTCTTCCAGGCGCTGCGGTGGAGCTTCCTGCCGACTCGACCCGACCTGCCGCCGACCCGACCTGCCGACGCGACCTCCCGACCCGAACCACCGTGCTCGGCTGCCGGGAGACCCCGAGGCACGTCGCCCGAGATCCCCGACATCCGGACCCCCGAACCGAGCCGCGTCGGCCCCGAGGCCACGGCTTAACCAAATGCCCCCGCCGCATCATTTTGGCACTAGAAGGAGGGCCCTGAAAGTCGAGGGATCATCCAACTGGCTGAGACGAGCTCACAGTTGAGGGGTCACTCCTGATCGGAGCTCCGGGGGAAAGTTCACGGCCACACGGCCGAGTCCACCTCAGCGCAGCCTGCTTGCCTGAGCGGCGTCCGCGCGGCCACAGTCTGACTGCGCCGAGCACCTCGGCCGCATGGTGCCCGCGACCACGCCCGTGCGGCCAGCCTGCCTGCGCCGAACTCATCCGGTGCACCCCCCTACGACCACCACAGCAACGAGAGCCGCCTGCTCGGGCCCGCCCTGCCTTAGTCTCTGCCAAGAGAAGGCTCAGTGTTTGCCTGACCGCCTCTTGGCTCACGGTTAGCTTCTGCCTAACCCCCCTCCTTTATGCATTCGCACGACTTGGTCGTAGACTAACCGAGTCCACCTCGACCATGCACTGCTGAGTCCATCTCAGGGCGGCTTGCCCACCTGGGTCTCGTCCCTCGGTCGCAGCCCGCCTGCGCCGAGCTTCTCGGCCACACGCTGCTGAGTTCACCTCAGCGCGGTCTGCCCGCCTGAGCGGTGTCCCTCGGCCACACCGCCAAGTTCACCTCAGCGCGGCCTGCCCGCCAGAATCGAGCCCCCGGCTTTTACCATATCCCTCGGCCATAGATGGCCGAGCCCACCTCAGCGCGGCCTGCCCACCTGCGTCATACTCCTCGGCAACGTGTTGCCCGAGACCACCTCTGATCGGCTTGTCCGACGGAGTTGTGCTCCTCGGCTGTGTGTCGACTAAGACACGCCCACGCGGCCTGCCCGCCTACGTCGTGCTCCTTAGCGCATAGCCCGAGTCGCTCCAGTTCGACCTCCGACTTGCGACTCGCCGGCTTGGCTCATAGCCCGAGTCGCTCCAGCTCGACCTCCGACTTGCGACTTGCCGGCTCGGCCCATAACCCGAGACGCGCCTACGCGGCCTGCCCGCTTGCGTCGTGCTCCTCGGCCGCACGTCGTCCGAGACCACGACCTCTGCTCGGCTTCCCGATTGAGATGTGCTCATCGGTCGCACGTTGCCCATGACCCAAGACACACCCGCGCGGCCTGCCCGCCTACGTCGTGCTCCTTGGCGCATAGCCCGAGTCGCCCCAGTTCGATCTCCGACTTGCGACTCGCCGGCTCAGACCATAGCTCGAGTCGCTCCAGTTCGATCTCCGACTTACGACTCGCCGGCTCCGACCATAGCTCGAGTCGCTCCAGGTCGATCTCCGACTTGCGACTCGTCGGCTCAGACCATAGCTCGAGTTGCTCTAGTT